TCCCCATGGAAGGTCTCACTCTCCCTGGGGAGCAGAAATGGCATGGGATAGGTAGGGAGTTAGTGGGGGCCAGGGGAGGAGGGGAAGGAGAGTGAACTGGGATTGACATGTAAAACAATATTTTTTCTAATTTAAATAAAGAAAATGGAGAGAAAAGAAAAAAATCTGTGGTTCTAGTTAGCTGGGGCTGAAAATTCAGCTGTAATTAAAAAAGATACCAGAAATGATAAAGTAAAACCCATGCTTTACTGGGACAATAGATGCTGGGGCTGAGTAATTATCAGTGATTAAGACGAGATCAGCACCACTAAGGTAAAATCTTCTGGAAAGTGGTTCCTCAGGGTCAGCACACAGAAGCTGTATTCCAGTGACAGCCACGGTCGTGCCTTCTGCTGCAGCTGAATTTGGTAGTGTAAGAGCCACTCAGGTTTTTTTCTAATTTAAATAAAGAAAATGGAGAGAAAAGAAAAAAATCTGTGGTTCTAGTTAGCTGGGGCTGAAAATTCAGCTGTAATTAAAAAAGATACCAGAAATGATAAAGTAAAACCCATGCTTTACTGGGACAATAGATGCTGGGGCTGAGTAATTATCAGTGATTAAGACGAGATCAGCACCACTAAGGTAAAATCTTCTGGAAAGTGGTTCCTCAGGGTCAGCACACAGAAGCTGTATTCCAGTGACAGCCACGGTCGTGCCTTCTGCTGCAGCTGAATTTGGTAGTGTAAGAGCCACTCAGGTGGTGCTGGTTTTGAGGTGATAAAGGGGTCATGAAAAGCAGCTGTGAGAATCCAGGAGAGGCCATTGGAGAAGCTGTGGCTTCCATAGTAGTTGAAGCCCCAGAACTGAAGTGTTCACTGAGGCTTGGCACCATAAAGAGAGCCTATTGTTGAAAGTGCAGCCCAGTTGCAGCAGAGAACACTAGCATTTTGGAGATGCCAGTGCCACGGATGACTACCAAGAATAGTAGCAGTAATGGAGTGATGCCAGCCAGAGCCTCGGAGACAAGCTGTGTGCTACAGAGGGCAGAGACAGAGAAGTGACCCAAGCCCTTTGTGAGTAGATCCCAGACATGGGACGTTGCTTTACTTCACTGTTGGCAGTTTGGTTTGGTTTTGATCTGATTGTTACTATGCCTTGGCTCTTCCCTCTTGAAGTAATAAAATATTTAACTTAATTTTTATTTTTTACAACCACTCACAGGTGAGAGTTATTTCATATTTTTAAAGAGACTGGATATTTTAACGGGCTGAACTTTTAATATGTCTGAATTTGTAAAGACGGCAGGACTTCTAAAGTTATTTATGTTTTTAATGTGAGATCTCAGGGATGAATGAGAGAGGAAAAGTTGTGACTTAATGTTGATGTGTTTGTGTGTGAAGTAACAAGGGGCTAATTGTGCTGGCTAGTTTTATGCCAACTTGACACAAGCTAGAGTCATTCCAGAGGAGGGAACCTCAATTGAGAAGATGCCTCCATAAGACTGGGCTGTAGGCAAGCTTGTGGTGGTACATTTTCTTAATTAGTGATTGATGTGGGAAGGTCCAGCCCATTGTGGATGGAGTCATCCCTGGGTTCTATAACAAAGTAGGCTGAGAAAGCCATGAAGATTAAACCAGTAAACTGCACTCTTCCACGGCCCCTGCATCAATCAGCTCCTGCCTCCTGGATGCTGTCCTGTTTGAGTTCCTGTCTTGACTTCCTTTGATGATGAGCAGTGATATGGAAGTGTAAGCCAAATAAACATTTCCTCCCCAATTTGGTCACAGTGTTTCATCACAGCAAGAATAACCCAAAGGCAGAGGGCTAGATGTTTTATTTGGCTTGGTCAAATCTGTGGATGTTTCTGAAAACAGCTGTTTGCTTGCTAACGGAAATGAAAATGACCCTTTCCCCCAACTCTTGAGTTACTTTAAAATATTCTACCCGGTGTGGAACATGAAAGGGGTACACAGAATGGTCTGTGTAGATAAGAGTCTAGGTCTTACACCCTGGGGAGCCCTGTACCTGATGCACCATGCGTGTGCACGTGCATGTGTGTCCTCCTGAGCTGTGTTCTGTCTCAGCTTAGAAAAAACAAATGCAAGCTCTTTTGACCTTCTGCTGCGGGGGTAGGAGGAACACGAAGTGTGAGCATCTTGAAGGAAAGGGCTTGAAAGCTTGGCGGCTGAGACTGGTGGTGGCAACAGGGCAGGTCTGTGGGCAAAGTGTCAGGCTGTTTGTGTGGAGCTCTCTGCGCATCCCTGTGCCTTAATCCATCTCTGAGATGCCTGCCCCAGTGACTGAGGTGCCAAGGACACTTATATTGTGATTGAAACCATAGGAAGGCTTTTAAATTAAAAGGCTTAGTAAAATGTTCTTCTGGGTCAAGAAAGACATGACTTTTCCAGACAGAATAAGAATAGCTTTAATATAGTTTGTTTTTATGGCATAGGGGTTGTAGTCTCAGAACCACAAATTGGGAATGTGTCATGCCAGGGTGACCAGTGTCACACTGATATGGATTCTCAGTTCATATTGAAGTTCAGGAAAGACAAGTGATCACAGAGCAGTAATACCGGCAGATGGGTCACTCTGGGGTCTCTTCCGTGGTAACGGGACTTTGGGTTCCTGTGTTAACCCCACAGCTACAATTGGATTGCAAACATATAAGGATTTAGTAGAAAGCTGTTAATGTTCAGGGGAGTGCTGGACAGGAGCACTTCCTGCTGTCAACAGATGGGCAGTGGTGTTAGCTCTGAGCCATGTTTGAATGGCCGTGCACGCGGGCCAGCAGAGGGTGTGCAGTCAAGAGGGAGTGGCCGGCTGGGCCTCCGAAGGTGTGGACGACCACTCCAGCTTCTTACTTCTGTATTGTAAGTTTGAACTCCACTTTCCCTTCATATGGGTCATGGGGATTGTCGAAAGTCACATGGTCTGCCAGGATCTTGCACACAATGATGACTTCTGTATTCTTGGGGATGTTGAGAAGCTTTGCTGCCACCAGAGGGTTACTGTAATGAGGCTGAAGTGAAAGCACAGGGGATGAGATGCTTGGGGGGGGAAACCCCATTGTTAAGAAAAACAAGAAGGGAGGGGATAAGCATAAAGGGTTCTTCTGTGGGGCTATCTTGAGGTAAGGCCCCCTTGGGTCACAGAACGACTGGCTTCTGCCCCAGGTGGCAAACAGGCTGTGAAAGTAAAATGGGGAAAATCATGCGGTGTGGAGGAAATGGTTTGGAGGGATTCACAGACGCTAGGCGGATATGGGAGATCCTGCACTGTAAGGGAATCAGGTTGATATTCATGTTTTTTGAGGGGGGTGCATTTCTAGGTGGATAAAAGACGTGTCTGGAACTGGCTAAGTCATGTCTTTGTTGTGTTCATTGTTTGTTTGTTTGTTTGTTTGTTTCTTGTTTGTTTTTCCAAGATAAAAATCTCATGCAGCCTAGATTGGCCTTGAGCATGCCTTGTGACCAAAATGACCCTAAGCTCCCGATCCTTTTGCCTCCACCTCCCAAGTGCTGGGATTACAGGTATATAGCACTTTGCTCTGTCTTTGTCTTGTTTTTGTGGAAAATGGCTTTCCTGTTGCTAAGTCTGAGGTAATTTAGCAAGTGCATTGGGGCAGAGTGAAACAGACTTACCTGGGCTTTCTTGCCATAGTAGGGGAAGTAGTGGAGACTGAAGGTGCCATTGGGCGGATAGTACTCCACCTGCAGGGGCTCAGTGTCCTTCCGGGGATTTCGGGGATCATCCTGGAGGCAGAGAAACCACAGCTGAGTCCAGTAAGCACTGGGGCACATGTTCATTTGTGTACAAGTACACGTGTGAGTTATATGTGTACTGGTTGCAATGCCAGTGATCACATCAAAACTTTGCATGTTAGTGTAATAGAGTTAGCCTTGCTCCTAGTCAGCTTTGATAGTCAGGGCTGAAAGCCTTTCAAGGACATAATTCCTCAAAATGCCAAACCTCAGTCACCTCCCACCCCACTTATTCCATCTTCAAGTCTCTGGTGAGTGAGGGAACTGGGGAAGCTGGTGCTTGCTTGTTAGCGTGTGAAATGAGAGCTGTCGAGTCCAAGGGCTCATTTGCCAAAACCAGGTTTAGGGTTTGTGCAGTTTTCTGGATTAAGTGTAAACACATGTTCCCAGAATCTATTTCCTTTTATTGTTGGAGTCAGACTCGCCCAGTGGGTAGTTTATGCTCATCAAATTAGGTCGGCTTGTGTGTGTGGTCAAAATCATTAAAAAAGTGAAAAACAAACAGACACCTGAAGCCCTAGGGACAGAGCTCTGAGGGGACATATGTTCCTTGGATCACTTAAGGATGTGCCCCTTTGTCAGTTAGGGCTCAACATTGAAAACAAGTCTCAACATTTAGTGAAGGCAAGTTTAGTATTCGATGTTGTATTTAGAAATTTTGTAAGAGGTTTCCTCTGAGATTAATGACACCTAAGTAGACATGCTAAGCCCCAGTAAGCAACAATACTGTTGGTGATCTGGAATATTTTTATAAATAAAAAATATAGAGAGTACAAGAGTAGAAGGGTGGGTCTCCCCATGGAAATCAAGCTTTCTGAAGTGTGAGTGACTGCACAGACCTGATGAGGGGGAGTCCACGGCTACAGCACTCCTCTGTGTCATCACTCCAGGCAATGGCTGACAGGTGACATTGGCAGGTACCCAGGGTAACTTGGGTCCCACCCCCCTCCAACCCCAGCTGTGCTCACCTGGAAGGTGCAGTCCACTCGGGGGGCTGTGTTGTTGCTGGGAAGGAACTTGACAATCTAGAAGAAAGGCTGCAATGTACCGCTGATGGGCGAGTGGGTACTCACGCATGCATCTGAGCCATTCCCCCATGGTACTGTGGTGTAGGAGGGCAGTTGGTAGTGGCAGAGCTGGGATAGAGTGGCCCTAGTCACTGGCACCATGTTCAGGTCTGTTGTGGTGATATGTAACAGCCTTCCTTGCTGCAGAATGGGTCTACCTACCGCTCTCAGTGGGGTCCCCACAGTACCATATTCCTCCCCTAGAGTCTTGAGCCTCAGCCACTGTCTCCTGAGCTCTGAGCAGGACCTGCCTTTGGCAGGAGTGTCAATTGCTACATGAATTGGTGCAACCCTGATTATAGCCTGCTTGTCAGGCAACTCTGGGGAGACCTTCCCAGCTGTAGAGCTTCAAGGTGGGTTCGATGCATTTGTGTGTGGCTTCCTAAGGTTTTGTAAAATTGAAAAAGGCAGTGAGAGGCCAATTGGGCCTTAATCTGCCACTTACTGTCTTAAGCAGTGACCCTGAGCCCCTGTTGCCTGAGTGCCACTCAGCTTGGCTTCATTTCTGCCTCTTGCTTACTGTGCCTGTTTTTAGGGCATTGATGGGACTTGCTGCCACTTGGCTTCAGATGCCACTGAAGCCCAGTAATTCCTGTAGGACCAACCCTCAAAGACTCCTGTTTCTGGGGCAGAAGGAGAACATGTAAAATGTCCCCAGGTTCTCCCAGTCTGAATCCACAACTCAAGGCCACTGTAGGCAAAGATCTCTCCTGCATTAGCTCTGTGCTGAATTTGCACAACGTTTATAATTATAAGGCTGGCAAGACACTGTCTGAGTAGAAAGTTCTAGATTTGTATTTAAGAGCTAAACATGATGAATGAGTATGGAGTCAGGGTGAAGCACGATAAAGGGCCCAGGCCCCGTGGCTAAGTGTGAGGAGGGGCCTCCTACCACTCCAGAGCCACTTTCAGAGTGGGGCCCTTGATACTCACCCTGTTCATCTTAATAATGAAGCAGGGCTTTCCCTCCTCAAAGCCAAAGTTGGGGTCCACCAGGCCTGAGCAGTTTTGCAGCATGTCTGCAGTGAATTTGCAGGAGAACTTTGTGTGGTTTGGAGCTGAAAAGCTCTCCTGGAAGAAGTACTTTTCAGAGGTACAGTTGATGCTGTCCTGCTGGGATGCGGGGGTGTAGCCTGTGGAATACACACCTCATCAGCCAGTCCCACGCTGTCCGTGGAGGAGATCCCAAGTCCCCAGCCCCACACTGTCCGTGGAGGAGATCCCAAGTCCCCAGCCCCACGCTGTCCGTGGAGGAGATCCCAAGTCCCCAGCCCCACACTGTCTGTGGAGGAGGTCCCGAGTCCCCAGCTTCACACTGTCTGTGGAGGAGGTCCCGAGTCCCCAGCCCCACACTGTCCATGGAGGAGGTCCCAAGTCCCCAGCTTCACACTGTTCATGGAGAAGGTCCCGAGTCCCCAGTGGTCCCCTTAGGAGACAGACACATTGCTGTGTTTGCGTTACCCACCTGCTAAGAAGCTGTGGAGGGTGTGTGTTAGGCCAGCCCAGGAGGTGTTTTCAGAGACATTGTAGGAAATCTGCAGCCCTCTTTCCCCATACACATCAGGTCTCAAGGTTACCCCTGGAAGGAAAGAGCATCTAGATAGGTTTCTCCAAGTGCTCACTTATACTGAGCTCTGAGCATCGAGGTTGTCCAGTCTCACACAAGCCCCAACCACAGTTAGATGCATCTGAGGTGGAACCAGTTCTCACACTCCAAGGTGGGAGCTGCAGAACAGGCACCCTCTAGCCCCGAAAGCTTGGCAGTAACACTATAAAAAAGTGCCCAAGGACTCTGAGGACAGGGGTCCTGGGGCCTCTGCCCTCTGCAGATGCAGCACAGTGGGCATGAAGGCCTATCCTGTACCTGAGACTTTGGATACCCAGGCCCAGCAATAGTGATGCATGCTCCACAGGGAAGTCTGGGCCTGGGGGAGTCATGGGCAAGATTGGTGCAGTGGACACTAGCCTCTGGGGAGTGCCCCATGTAGCCTGCAGGTGGGTCTCTCGGAGAAAGGAATCTGAACACACATCAAGTATTTTTCTGGGAGCCTGTGTAGTGACAGGTGGATCTCTGTTTGAGGTCAGCCTAATTTCCAGGATAGCCAGGGCTGTCTCAAATGGGGGGTGGGGGGGCACTTGGGTTCTGGAGAGATGGCTCAGTGGTTAAGAGCCACAGGCTGCTTACCCGGTGACTTTAACTGGTCCTGGTAGTCTGGGGTGTAGGGGTCGATGGTCTGCATCAACACGTAGATGCACAGGGAGAAGAGCCCCGTCATGACCACATAGAAAGCTGCGTAGTAGAGGCTGATCCACACTGGGAAGAGAGAGGTGCACGTAGCAGCCCCAGCTGTGGCAATGCACACGGCACAGGCCCACTGCCTTCTCCATCTCCAGCATAGAGCACAGTTGGTGCCATGCGAGGCACTCATGACGCCACACCATCACATCAGCACCTCTACTGAGTTCCAGAACGTTCTCATCTGAGTGGAATTCCCAAGCTTTTTGGCACCCTCTTCCCCTCACTGCCTAGTGCTGGAACTCACTGTCTACTCCATCTCTGATCTTCCTTTTCCCCACACAAACAGAACTACAGGGCATGTTCATGGCCTTGTGTGGGCTCCTGTCAATCCCCTTGCACATTAGTGGCAACTATGTGTGCTTGGTGCACTGATCACTATATTCTGTAGCCATCGTAGCAGGATCTCAGAGCATGCTCCATGCTCTGGAGTTCCTATTGCTTCCCACACTACAGGAAGGGAAAGACAGAGAAAGGCAGCTGCTGGCCAGAGTGACCCCAGTGCACAGTCTGGCTGGGAAGGGCCATGGCTGAGTATATCTGGATTGTGCTCTGAGGACCTGGCAGGTACTTGCCCTGTGTCCTGCAGAGAAGATTAGCAGGCATGCCGGGCAGGCCCAGCTCCTGTGGCTCCTGGCACTGTTGCTCAAGTATCAGTGGAAGGAGATGCTCCAACCCCAGTATGACCAGGCTTCATGGGCTCCTGAAGACGGCATTCTTTTTGAGACAGATGCTAGGGGACCACACCCCTCTGGGGCATGGCCTTGGACTGGGGCTATTGTGAAGCCCCCACAATTGTGTTTTGAATGGTTTCTAGCCACAGGAGTCACTGTTAAGAAATATCCTGTCAGAAGAGGGTCTTTGCGCTGGCTGTAGCATTGGTCTTCCTGGGAAGGTCTCTAAGAATGTGGGTTGCTCCTTCCAAATGCATGATGTAGGTACAGCTCCCTCCCAGTACGTCTTCCTTTAATGACCCAAAAAGTGACTAATGGGCAGGACCAAGTCAGTGGGGATAAGACATGGTGGGGAGGTCACAGTTTTCAGTTCTCTCTCTCTCTCTCTCTCTCTCTCTCTCTCTCTCTCTCTTCTCTCTCTCTCCTGGCAAGGCCTCCCTGGAGGGCCAGCACAGCAGTGGCCTGTTTCAGAACTGTGGTTCTATGGAGACCCAGTACTCTACGTGGGTTTGGATGTTGTAGTGGCTGATGGCCTGACCCTGTGCTTTTAGGACTGCCAGGGTACACCTACTTAGCTTCATGGTCTACAGAGATGGATGCCAAGCATGTTCAGGAAGGGCCAAAAGGAGATTTCCCATTGCAGGGCTGACATGGTCACTACAGGTTCCTACCTGATGTGGCTTCAGTCTAACTCCTCTACCTTCCCGGGACCTGAACTGGACTCTCAGCTTTGCTTGCTGCTTGCCCATCCAGCCTCTCAAGCCCTCTTCCTGACTGTTCAGCTTATAGGTGTGAGCCAGGCCTCAACAACTCCCAGGTGCAATTGAAGGGTCCCAACTTTGCCACCATCGGGCTTGGTCCCCAAGTGGGCAATGCCATGAAATCTTACAACTCGAAAGCTACTGGTAGTAAGAGTTCCATGTCACACAGAGAAAGAGTGTGGCCCAGGTGGCCCAGTATGCCCCACGTCACTGAGACTTCTGCTGTTCCCAGGTTTGTTCTGCAGCCCCGTTTTCCTCTAAGTACTGCATGTACCTCTTCTCCTAAGAGTAACTTGTCCCCTTCCTTTATTTTGTCATTTCACTTGAGTGATGCTTTCTTCAGCCCCCGAAACTGTCATCCCCAGACACTGAGGCCAAGTCCTCAAGTCAGGCTGTGAAACCATTCCAGGAAGTTCTCAGTGGCATTGCAGCCATCAAGGAAGGCTTGCAGGAGCCTTGGCAGCTAGAATAGCCTACCATCCAAGGTTCCTGAGAAGATAGCGGGCAGTGCCATCATCTTCCTCAGGGCCCCATCTGCTGTCCCTTCTTCATGTGACCCACTTCCTGGGATGGCTCAAGTACCAGCTCTGCTTCTGTGTTTCCCACTGGTTTACACTGTCTTTCTCTTTCGTCTCTGCTCTGGAATTGATTGTATTTTCCCTACGCTGCCAGAGACTCAGGGGTGCCCTCTGGCCCTGGGAGGCCTCAGGAGCTTGAGGAGGGTATGCCACATCTCCTTCTACATGAATGGTGTATACTTTTCATATGGGAGCACATTCAAGCTGGGCTGAGGCTAGCTGAATTGCCGTACAGCTGAGTTATTAGGTACCACCCTCTGTGAGCCTACTCTCATCTCAGTTCTCGAGGTCCCTGAGATGGGTGGTAGAAAGTCAGCCAAAATAGCCTTTACTTTGTGTACAGACCTGAAGCACCTTGTATTGTATCCCCCATATGGCCTCTGTGGGAACCCAAAGGAACAGGGCCTGAGGCTGCTGTCTGAGGAGTAAGGTGGCATAATACATCCTGTTTCCTCCAGTGATGCAGCATTGCAAAACCCTCACTGCAAGCCTCCAGAGTACACGCCTCTAAGCTCTCTGTAACTCCCATGTCATGGTTCTGGAGAGCCTGAGAGATATTCACTCTTGGGGTCTCAGGGGTACATCCTGTTTGTGGAAGATGTACTCTGTGAGGGGATGCCCTGAATAGGTGCAGTCTTCTAGTCTGTGAGGACTTTTTTGTTCCTATGGTGGTCCCAGAAGGAAGGGTCCTCAGGTCACCACAGGGCAGCCATAAGAAAGGGGCTCTGTGGATATATCTACCTAGCTCACCTAACCCACACTTGACAATGACAGTGGCACAGGACACCTCAGATGCAGCCTGGGAATCTGGGATGTCTCCCAATATGCCTAGCACGTCAGAGTCATCGCAATCTTCATGATAGAACAAATCCATGGTAGTAAATCCCTGTCTCTCAAATTCTCTGAACAAGAGACTACCATTACTTGCTATAACTTAAAAACATATTAGTTTCAGGAAGAGCTTTAAAATTATACTTCAAAGTCATGGATGAAAAGGGGCCAGTCTTGGACCTGCATTACAGGTGTTCTAGAGTCCTGAGCCTCAGGGCCAACTGGGGACCCTCTAGGGATTCTAGCTTCCTTCTGAGAGATGAGGCATGGCCTGAAGTGTGTTCCCAGGTGCCCTAGCTGCTGGCTGCTAGCCCTCTGTTTCACCCCATGCCCCCTTCATATGGCCCACACATACCCCACCGGGCTGGGGTGCGGCCCAGCATCTGCCCAGTGTCCGGGTTCCAACAGTAGTGCCGGAATTCAGCCATGCGTTGGCTGCATGACTTCTTCTCCTGCAGGGCTGCCATGTCCTCTCCTGCTTGCCTGGACTGGGCCCAGGAAGCCTCCTCTGGGGCTTATAGTCTCCTCTGCATGAGGCCAAAGGCATCAGAGCCAGCTATCACTTCCCCACTATCACCTCTACAAACACAAGGGAGGGCCGGGGCTTGCCTGATATCTGCCCTCTACTGTCCCAGAAGTCAGCTGGTCCTTGGGACGCCCTTGGCTGACAATTTAATCTGCCCTGATGGCAATCGAGGGGAAGTGTTTCTGGTATGAACAGCCTTCCAGGTTGTGCCTCATCTCTCCTTCAGGATGGAAAACACAGACTGGTTCGTCCCAGGTCAAATGTCACAGGCCTGAGACCTTCTGCCCCACCATTCAGGTCCCTGGGTCCTTGAACTGCTTCCTTAAGTCCTCATTAGGATGGTAGAGAAGTTGCCTGAATTGTGGCCATAGCTGCCTGGAGTGGCCCTACAGCCCTGTCTTTCTCAAGAGTTTTCAGCTGCTGGTGGTGGTCAGGGCAGAGTCACAGGGAAATAGGTGAACACCAGTAAAGTATAGCAGTGAGCCAAGATGGAGGCACTGTCAGGGAGGGATCCTGTCTTCCAGTCTCTGCCATGAGGATAATGTTCTCCTGCCCTTTGCTGGAAGTAGGACTAGAGTGCCTTTAAGATTCCTGTGTCTGCAGAGAGAATCCCACTCATGGGGCTGGAGGTGCTCCTGGGCTTCGTTTGTTCTGCCCCAGATTCTTTCTGATGATTGTTCTGATGCTGGAACTACTGAGTGGAGTGTTTCTCATATTCAGACGGGCTGCTGACAGCTGGAGGTCCTGCAAAGGTCTAAAGCAAGAGTATACATGGACAGTGCATGAGGGCTACACATGCCGGATGCCTGTCCCCACCTGGTGCTCTATAGGTGTCCCTCTACCACTGTCCTGTGCACCAGATGGGAAGGTCTCCCTAAATGTTCTGAATGTGTAACCAAGTCAAGTTGAAAGCAGTATCTACTGGCTGCGTGTCTACTCCTGAAAGCAGAGGATCAGCCAAGCAAGTGGGACGGGCTCTGCATCTTTTCAAATGTACCTAGGACAAAACCTGGCCCATGTGAATGGTCATCACTGGGAACTCATTATTGTCACATCTACACAGGCTTTCCCTCTTAGTGAATGTGTCACCAAACTAGTTTCTTTGGGAAGAACAACTCTGAAAAACCATGTGGCTTTTATTTTGTGCCCCCCAATATGATTTAGTTGTCTGCAAACAGTCTAAAATTTAAATGGGTTCACATCCTTGTAGATTGGATGCTTTATAACATCTCAGTGAGCCAGTCCTGTGCATTCTCTTTGGCACACATGCACTTATGATGTCAGGATTTTAAAACCAAGTGAATGGCAGTTGCAGAGATCTAGCAGTTCATACAGCCTGGGGGTCCCAAGCGTATGTGTTGGGACACAACGGTGCCTGTCAATCGGGGCCAGTCTTATATGGGCCTAAAGATGCCACATGGACCTGCATTCAGATGTGCAGGGTCCGGAAATTGCTTGTAGGCCTGGAGCCAGATGTGTAAGCACCCAAAGATACCTGTGGGGCTAGAGCTGGCACATGTAGAACCAAGCCCCTGGGGATTGGCAAACAGGGTTGTAAATGCATCTGAGAGCCTAGCCATTGTCTGTTAGTCCTGAGCCATAAGCAAACAGAATCTTTGTTCTCCTCATTCTATTCCTCATTTAGTTCCACTATGGTTTTGTATTAGGGTTGGCTCCAGGGCTCAGTGCCTTTGGTTGTTGGAGAGAAGTAAGAAAATTTTGGGGCAGTTCTGGGACCTTTTCAAGCTGAAGTCAGAAGAACTCCCTTGAAGCTATGTCAGCTTCAGACCCATGGGAAACAGAAATGGACAGTGAGACAAAGAGCATGGGTGACCGCAAAGCCTTATTTCCAAACAAGGCACAAAATACCAATAGACAGCCTGAGAAATCCACTGACTGTCAGCAGTGTAGTTAACGACACAGGCTTCTGGGAAGGGAGGCTCAGTGATGATGAGATGCGACCTCTATTAACTTCATGAATTTATTTCCACTGGACTTTGACAAGAAGGTGAAAGACCCAACACAGCACCTGCCTCTACCATCTCCTTCCATTAAACAGGAGCAGGTACCACAGAGAGAATACAGGAAATTAAAAGGGTATCTTAAAGGAGGTCTTCCACAGGTCTTCCACTCCTGGTTATCTGTACACAGGACTCTTAAGTCAGCACATCCCAGAGATGCTCACACATCTGTTTACTGCAGCTGTGTTCACAGCAGCTGAGTTACAGGAGCAGCTTAAGGATTTGACAGCAGAGGAGCGGTTAAAGAATATACCCAATGGGTTGCTTTTCAGCCACACACACAGAAAAAAAATGATGTCATTTGCAAGGAGAGAGATAATCAAGTGAATTAATAGTCTCTCTCTCTCTCTCTCTCTCTCTCTCTCTCTCTCTCTCTCGTGTCTGTCTCTCTGAGTCTCACATAGCTGAGGATGGCCTTGAACTTAGTGAATCTCCTACTTCCTCTTCAAATCCCAGACAGCACAACACAAATTTCTTCCAAAGAGAGAGTGGCCCTGGGACTGGCCATAGTGGGAGTTGGAGCAAAGTGCGCTAAAAGTTTTTTTCATTTTGAGATCTCATGCAAAACAAAACACAGGCACATTAGGCTTTTGTGGCACTATTTCAATGATGTCTTCCACTAATAAAGCAAAATTGCAGATTATTTGTTTACAGATTATTATGGTTCCATGATTTTTAAGAACTGCTTTGTTGTAGATGCCTTTTTGCTGTACTACAACTTGTCAAAAGTGAATGTATCTGGCAGGGCCCACTATCCTGCCTGTGTTCCCCTGTATGACTCATTACACTTGGAAATTTTGATTCAACCAGTCTCCTCTGCTAGCAAACCCCCAAACCCTAAGAGAAACTAGTGTGTGCATACATGATAGCATCTTTGAAGAGAGAGAAAATGTGGCATTTGTAGAGACCAGTGCCTTCTTTTGATCATCCTTTCTTGCATTTTAAAAATTGCATTATTATTTATTTACTGGGGAAGGGGTCACACATTTACCATGGCATGTGTATGGCAGTCAGATGGCAACTTGAGGGAGGGGGTTCTCTCCTTCCGCCATGTGGGTCCCAGGGGTCAGGCTTGGCAGCAAGCACCTCTATTACCCACTGAGCCATCTCTCTGGCTCAAATTATTGCAAACTCTGCTTTTTTTATTTAAAAAATTTAAAACTTTAATATTCATCATTAATGTAAATGTATATGTGTTTGAAATGTATGTGTATTTATAGTGTGTATGTTTATAGTGTGTGTAGATGTGAGTGTATGTGTGTTTATAATGTGTGTGTGCAACTTTGTGGGGTTGGTTCCCTTCTTCTACCGTTACATTTCAGCAAATGGTGCTGAGGTAGTTTGACCATCATTAGAAAAAAGAAGCCTCAACTAAATCTCATACCTTTTACAAAAATGAACTCAAGCAGATCATGAACTTGGATGGAAATGGGAAACTAACCTTCAGGAAAAGACATGGATCTAGGCTAGTCTAAGAGCCCTTATACTCAACACCAAGAAAAGAATCCTTAAAAAGAAATCGATAAATCGGACAGAACAACTCTTGCCTGGGAAAGCCCAGGTATAAATGAAAAGACATGTTGCCACTGGAGAGGACATTTGAAAAGCACCATCTGAAATATGCAAAGGGTGCTTCAGATTAAGATGCCCCATGATTAGAATATGGTAGGAGGATACTGAAAAATGCTACCCCAAGCGGAGGCTTGGCTGGCACACTGGTCTGTAGGAAAGTAATCTGTATGGGTAACCCCCCAGGGAAAGGCAAACTAAAACTACAAAGAACCAGGGCTGGAGAGATGACTTAGTGGGTAAGAGCACTGGCTGCTCTCCCAGAGGACCTGAGTTCAGGTCCCAGCACACACATGGCAGCTCAAACCATCTATAATGGGATCTGATGCCCTCTTCTGGCATACAGGCATACATGCAGGCAGAGCACTCATACATTTAAACAATACATAAAAAATTTAAAATCCCACAAAGACCAAAGAAATCATTTTCAGGAAAATAAGTGGAGTTGGATATTATCATGTTGAGTGAAATAAGGCAGATTCAGAAAGACACGTGTTTTCTGACATATACAGAAGCTAGATAAAATAGAAACAAAGATATTCCAAGAGACATGACAATAGAAGGGGGAACTATTTGGGAAGGAAATTTGTGGGAAGAAGAGGGGAGACCAGAGAGTAATAGGGTTGAATATGTTCAGAATACATTCTGTGTGTATGAAAATGTCACAGTGAAACTCATTTTGTACAATTAATATGTTAATGAAAAACAGTACCAGGGCAAGATGGCCAAACAAGCAAAGTCCTGTCTAGGATGTGGGTGTCTGGCTTCAATGGCTGCTGGTGGGAATGAAAGATCGGCACATCTCTGGAAATCAGTTTGTCAGTTGTTTTCAGAGAAAACACATAGCTACCCAGATTTACACTCTTGGCTATTTATCCCAGAGAAGTAGAAATTTACATACAAAAATACAGTAATGTTTACAGAAGCTTTGTATTTAACAGCCCAAACCTAGAAAGAATTCCAAAGTCTTTCTCTGGATGCCTGGTTTGACCATGGAGCATCTACACAGAACATGGAACAATATTCAGCCACAAGAAGGAAGGAACTGTGGGCACCTGCCATCCACTTCTAGAGAATTCCCTGAGAGGGAAAAGTTAGCCCCCCAAAGGTCCCATGCTCACACAGCACCCAAAGATCCCATGCTCACCCAGCACCCAAAGGATCCACGCTCACACAGCACCCAAAGAGCCCATGCTCACACAGCACCCTTTCAGTGGTACAATGTGACCACAGAGAGTAGGCCTGTGGGTCTCTGGGGGCTGAGGGTGTGGGGAAGGCTTTGTCTACAAATGACAGCTCAAGGGTCCTGGTGCCATGGGTAGCCTGAGTCTAATGGTCATGTCAGATACCT